CGACAATTACATTTAAAAATTAGGTTTTTTAGATGACAATTAGAGTTTTTAATTTTATGAACGTAAAACATTAATAAAAGTGCACACATTTGTTAAGTGTGCAATTTAAACAGCAGCTCTGGCCAAATTGACCGTGTAGGTAAACACAGTTATTTTACATTTTATTTAAAATTACGAATTACGAATCACTTGAACTTGAATTTATTATGTAACTGCAAACGTAAGAGATAAAAAAACTGGAAGAAATGGGAGGCGGAGGGTTGCGAAAAATTTAGCCGATTAAACTACTGGCAAAGTGCGATATAACTCGGCGCCGGAAGTGCTTGTTGTAAGCTGCCTGTCCCGCTGGCGAATCGATCACACCCCGCCCCGGCCCGCGCATTGCGTTACTCACCGGCTGATCCTGGGAGCTGGTCCATTTCCAGTTAAATTGGCTGATGAAAACCGGTAACGGAAGCAGAAATAATCTCGCTGCGCAGACAGCCGCTCCGACCTATAAAACGGCAGTACACTGTATGGTTTTCTTTTAACCATTATTTTAAAAAGTCCGCACTTTGCACGAGCGAGGCGAGTATTGATTCAAGTACGCAGGTAGTTAGTTTAATAACTGTTGTAAATTTGTAACAGCGCGCCATTAAAACAACAAAGTGCCTGCACGGATTTCTCCATCAAAATGGCCAGATCCATGTTGCGACCTAATCACCGCTCACATAACACCGGCAAGAAACCAATTCCCGCCCTTCCAATTCTTCCACACAGCCGGCGCCGTATTTCATCCTTAAAAATAACTTTCTGCCAAGCTGGCCGGGTATAAGCCGCTTTTCTACGCCCTATTTCCACCAACCTTCGATCGCGCCACTGCGCATAACTCCAACAAAATTAATTTTTAAAATTAAAATAAACGTTCCAAAATTATTTAATTTTTTTAAAAATTATAATATGATAATTAAAATAAACCTTTTACGCTCCCGTTCCGCTTTGCTGTGTCGGCAATTTTCGCCAGCTCTTAATTTCCGCTACATCTTATTATTATTGTACGAATATTCACAGGCGGATAGTACTATGAATTATGAAATTAATAAAGGGAATTAAACATACTCGTACTCTCGTACATGCTTACTGTACCCATGTACCATTAATTATACTTGGGCAGTGGCCGACAAGCCTTGCGCAATACTTTTAGTTCGGTCAACGGCCAGCCCTTATCAGATCTAGACGATCAGCCATCCTGCACGAGGAGAATCAAAATCGCCGCGCTAACGACATTCTCTGTACCGCTTACACGGTCTGACGATGGCTAAACCGGAAATTCGTATAACTGCGCACCTCGACGTAACACTGCTCGCTGGGATTGCACCTGCTTTTTGTCGATAGCATTAGCCATGATGGCGGGACCTTATCGCACAGATATTGAAATAAAATAATTCTAAAGAATCAAAGGCTTCAGAATTTTCCTGCAGTGGTATTCTAAAACAACAAACTACGCTCGGAAAACATATCAACTGGGCATTTGCAACATGACACTGCAAAACGTTGCTGTCCGCGCAGCACCTGTAGGCGCGTACAGGCCGCACGCACTAAATCGAACAGGAAGGCTCTCTCATGCGCACAGATTAACATTTACAAACAGTTCGATCGTAATAGTTTTTCGACAGACTGCGGAGCGCGTATCACCGAGATTTCCCCTACATTACATTTCCATTAATAACCGTTTAACGGGAGTTTAATCAGCCCTGATCGAATCTCCCATTTCCGCCCACACATAGCAGCGCGGCCAGCACGCTTCCTCTGAACAATAGCACACAATATGCAGCACTGCACTGGCGCTAACCACTTACCTGATTCAAAGAAATCCAACGCCGCTCGACCGCACTTATCACACACGGGAAAAAACGAAAAATTACTGCAGACGTACACGATCAACCGATGCTATCATCCGTGGAAAATATCCACCATCACAAAGGATTAAAAATCCGCAGGAAAAACAGCGATAAAAGCAGGCATAATCCGGGAAAATCCAGCGGCAGCCGACGAAGAAGGGAGAGAAAAAAGCGACGCATGCACTATCACGCCGCCGTCAAGTGGCGGAACAAAACAGACAGTTGGTCAGCGGCGCACAATACTTACTGTACTGTGGCCACGTAAAGAGAGAGAAAAAGTCAAGGCGCACAATGACGCCGCCGTCACGTGGCGGGGCTAAGCAAGTCAACGGCGCAATATATTGTGGAAATTCTAAAAATCTCTAATTCGCCTGCCAGCGTTAGACAGAAGAGGTAAGTGTTCACTGCGCAGTCGGCTTCAAACACAGATGACGTCAGCGTTCAGATGTACGGCTCGCTGCGCAGCGTAAAAATCCCGTGTTTTTGCACTTGCGAGTCCTTCCGCCTCTTTTAGAATTATAGTGATCAATGCAGACATACGGTAGATTATCAAAATGAGATTCGAGCCATCACTTTTGATTTTTCAAAATTTTACTGTGAATTTTCTTTGGTTTTTACATCAGCTGCACGTGACGGATGACACCAAACACCACCTTCCGGCAATAAAGCGCCAATGGCCCAATGCCGGACATCGAACAACACGTTCCGCGACACATGTCATTCTGCCATGCTGGTATTGATACGTTCCGCCTGTGACCTACTTCCCGATCACTTTTGCCGGCGGAAATTGCACAGGTGTTTCCGCGGGCGGTTGGCCTTTCGGTAATTCTACTTCCGCGTATTCGGCCATGGCTCTAACCGTTGCCGCGGGCGTATCTGGATTTCGCCAATCACCCTCTCTTTTCTTATCTGCCGTGTTTGGCAGCAGTAGAGCTAACAAATCCAGCGTCGATCTCTTTTCCGGCCAGAAACAGCTCGGCGGGCGACTTCCAGTCGCTGCTTGAGGTGCGTCTCCTGTCGGTGTTTCGCTGGTATGACTGTCCGGGAGCCCCAGCAGATGCAGTCATTTACCACCACCAGCTCGTGTTTCGAGTCGCTTGTACGGACGCAAGCTTTCTTCGACAGGCAGGCCAGCCAGTCATGACGTACTCGTACACGTTGGACCAAACAACAGGTTAAGCAACCAAAACTCATGGGAAGAACGGGCGTTGAGGCATTCCCGATGACATCATAGAAATGACATCATAAAAGCAGCCTGAGACGAGTGCCAGGGCCTCCTTTTCTATCTGTCCGTAGATCTTCTCGGCCGCTGTCAGGGTCTTGGACGCATGGACAATCGGGCGTTCCGTTCCGCCTGGAAAACGGTGGCAAATCACGGCACTGACGCTATACGGGGACGCGTCCGCGGTCAGGACCAATTGCATCCGCGGGTCATAGTGGACCAGGAAGGTTGCGCGGATAATTTGGTCCTTCAGGGACAGGAATTGGGACTCACAGTCCTTGGACCAAAACCAGTGAATTCCGGTCTTCAGGAGGGCGTGGAACGGGGCACACTTCCCGGAAAGGTCGCGGACGAACTTCCCTTAGTGGTTGACAAAACCCAGAAACGGGCGGAGTTCACTGATGTTGGTGGGACGGGCCATTTCTAAGAGAGCTTTCACTCGATACTGGGAGATGTGGCGTGGTGGTCCACCACGAACCTGTCACGTATTACAGATAGGGATTTTAATACCACATGAACGCTGGCCAGTCAGTATGAGAACTGAACACCAAACAGCAGGAAAATACGACTACCACAAAGCAACTGTTGCTAAGTACAACATGACAACACTACACGTCCCCACGTATTGAAGGTACAAAACAAAACCTGAAATACGGAACAAACAAGAATGTCGCACTGGACAGATGGCACGAGTACGTACGGAAGTGTACGTATTAAACTAAACTTAATGTAAGTACTGTAATTAGAAATTAAAATAATTATATTATAACATTAGCATTGTAATGTCAGTAGTAGTTTGGTACTTTAGTATGAAGCAAAATCCAGGCAACGGAATCCAGTGTTTTGCGTGCGTCAGCTACAACATAACGGAGGCAGTGTAGGAGTGCTAAGTACATACAATCCAAAGTAGATGTCGGCGCGCCATTGATGGACTGATGCAATACGTATCCCAGTTGCAGCGGAAATAGGGAGTACGATAAACGTACACTTGCAGCCAGACATGTGTATATTCACACTATCGAAAGTACTGTACTGCCAGCGTGGATTTGGGTACAAGGTACAGTACGAACAGGCAGCATTTCAGCCCGATTGTATCTGATCCTTGGCAACGAACGCAGGAGTTCCTGATTCATACGTCAGGAGCCAGGTTCTTGGAATAAATCACCATAAAGGTCAGGAAGAAAGGAATTCTTGCATGGCCGGGTAAGGCGTTTGGCAGGGAAACGCTGCTGGACTGCGGCACCGGCAGTACGGCACTCGGCAAGAAGGAAATTGTAGGAACGTAAAGGTACAGCCATGGTACATCGTACATTGTAGGACATGGTAGGGCAGCAGCAGTATTGGAACGGTAAATGGCATGGGACGTTACTCAGCACTGTGAGCAGAAGGCTTCGCTGGAAGGGTCCGGATTCCCTCCCGCGAGAAATTTATTGCACGAAAGCAGGAAATGAATTTGTACGCCATTGGCATTACGTACATTTGCAGCAGCATAAAACAGTAAGGAATAGAACAAGGCAATGAGTTCGAAGACTTCACGCCAATTTGTCACGTATTACAAATAGGGATTTTAATACCACATGAACGCTGGCCAGTCAGTATGAGAACTGAACACCAAACAGCAGGAAAATACGACTACCACAAAGCAACTGTTGCTAAGTACAACATGACAACACTACTGGGAGATGTGGCGTGGTGGTCCACCACGAACCCCATGTACTACACGGAGTCCTGCAAGATGTGACACTTGCTCCGTTTGAGCATGAATCCGTGCTCCTCCAGACGCTGGAGAACCTTTTCCAGATTCCTCAGGTGCTCATCTTCAGTCGCCCGGTGACAATGATGTCATCCAGATAGATGGCCACGCGCACGCAGCCTTGGAGGACGCTTTCCATTATCTGCTAAAAGATGCTGAGGCCGCACGCCACGCCAATGGCAAGGCGGTTGTATCGGAACAACCCCTTGTGGGTATTGATCACCACCAGTTTCTTACTGTCGTGGTCAAGCTCGGCCTGGGCGTACGCCTGCGCCAGGTCAAGGGTTGTTAATTTCCGGCCGCCAATGAGCTTGGCGAAAAGCTCATCCGGTGTCGGCAGCGGATACTGCTGGACATCTAGGACGTCATTCAGGCCATAGCTGAGGTCGGCACAGCTGCGGATGTCTCCCGCCCGCTTCTGCCCGGTCACCACCGAAGCTGCCCGGCCCGCCCGCTCGACCGGAGTCAGGCTCCCTTTCTCCACGAGGCGGTCCAGGTCGCGCTCGACGGTTTCCCGGAACGCAAACGGGACTGGCCGCGCCATTCAGAACACCGGCGTGTCTCCGGCTTTCAGGTGCAGATGGGCTTTGTAGTGCCGGCATTGGCCCAAATCTTCGCGGAACACGACACTATGCTTCGCCAGCAGCTCCTCTACCGTGATTCCGGAGACAGTGGACACGGAGACCGACTGGGAATTTCGAGGGCTCACTCGGCTAAGGTCGAGAGCCCGGACCCAGATTCTCCCAAGTACGTTGCCGCCGTGGCTACAACGATAACGGGTAGCGCTTTCTTGTTCCGGCCGTGCGTGACATCCACTGTCACGGTACCAATGACCTTCAGGGCGTGGCCCGTGAAGCTTCGCAGGAGGGACGTATAAGGCGACAGCTTCGGTGATCCAACCGATCTCCAAGTGTTTGCAGTCACAATAGTGACACTGGAGCCAGTATCCAGGACTGGTGATACAGGGTCGCCGTTCAGCTTGAGCGGCACGTGGATGGATTGCCCAGCTGCTGCTTCGACAGACAGCAGATGCAGCTCCTCCTCCACGAGAAATTTCTCGCGTCCATCCCGTTCGCGCTGTGGCTGCTTCGCGCTTCTGCATACATTCGCGATGTGGCCTTTTCTTCCGCAATTTTTGCCGGCTAATTCCTTTGCCGAGCACTCCGCTCGGGCTTGCTGGCTAGATCCTGAACCGTCGCACACGTTTCCGCTAACTCCACCAGCTTTGGGTCGCCTGTCAGGACCCGCGCCTCGCCGCTGCTGTCCGCCACGGCCGCCGCCGCGGTTTCTGCTTCGCGCGCCGTCTCCAGGGCGCGCGTTGTCCACGCGAGCCACATTAGGCGCCGTACTGATTTTTCTGTTGCTTTTCCGGAGTTCGTACTCCTCGGAGACCTCCAGAGCCTTCTCCAGAGTGTTATAGATCTGGGATTGTAGGTGTTGGCGTGTGGCGTCGCAGGCGATGCCATTGAGGAAGGTCGCCGACATGTTCTTTTCGAGCACATCGACTGGAAAACCGCAGGGAAATGCCTTTCGACACAGGCGGTTAGAGAAGTCCAGCAAGTTCTCGCCGGACTCTAGCTGCAGCTTAAAGTAGTTCGCCCACTCGGTGGCGGCGTTCGTCTTTTTCACATAAGCATGCTCAGGCTTGTCCACCAGCTGCGCAGGTGGATGGGTGGATTTTTCACTCGATAACTTTGCAGCACCGACTGAACTCCAGATTTCCGCTGTGACAATAGCAACCCCGGACCCAGTGTCCAACAAATTGGTGACACCGACACAACATTCATTTTCACTTAGAACATTTTTCCAGCCTCTCAGCAAATCGAAGAGTAGACATTTCTGGTCTTCGCCGGCCGTGATTTTGTGTAGGTTGACGTAATTCCGAAACTGGAACTGCCACCAGCGCCACGCCGTTTTGGGAGGGTCAAATTTGATCAAGCCAGAGGTTTCATTTTCTTTTGCTGTGCTGGTGGTGGTCATGGTGTTTCCTGGTGTTGGCGGCATTTACAAGAGAGAAGGAGTCTGACCGTGCGTGTGTTCGAAATATTTCACGCCAGTTTGTCATGGAGTAGGAATTAAATATAAATATTTTCTGGTACACGCGCGCTGCTCTGGTACCTAATATCTGTCATCAAATATTAACAGTCGTGAGAGGTCGTGCATTACTGAGCACCAAGCGGCATAACAAAGTGCAGGTGATGACCACACCGGTTTGAGGTTCCGACGTCCCCACTTCCGCCCGACTGCCCCCGTTTATTGCATAGAGTAACAGAACAGTTGCGAAAGCAGTAACACGAATGGCACCATGTAGGGTGGGCCGGTTGTAAATGAAAACATCAGAGGGCAAAAATCAGCGAACCAACTCGTCATAACGACCGATCAGAATAAAATGCGAAGGTAAAATGCAAAGGTAAAGGTTTATGGAGTTGAAAGTTACCGGCATGGCCAAAGGTGCGCAACTGCAGCTGAGAGTCTTACCTTGCGGTACGGACTGCTCACTGCCGGCACCCTCCGCCTGTGCCGATTTCTTCGCCCAAACAAACCCTTTTTTCGTAGAAGTTCGGTCCGGTTATGGTCCGGTTAGGTCGGATATAGCGCTAGACGCAGTCACTCTTCCACCGTCTGGCGCGCTGGATCTGTTCCTTCGGCAGCGATTCCGACGTAGCCTCGGTCGCTGCGCCGATGCGGAAGCTGTGAGTGCTGATCCGCGAGCGATCGGGGTGGTCGTGCAACAGAGTCTTGAGGAACCGGTCAACTGTCGCGCGCGTTAGATACTTTTCGTTCTGTTAGCGGAAGAAAGGGGTGGCAATGCCGCCTTGCTTGCACCTGAGGCGGTGACAGGCAGCGATGGTGCGTACGGGACAGACGGATCGGTTGGTGGCCGTTAGTGTTATTTTCACACTCGCAGCGCACTGATCAGTCTTGGTGCGCTTCAGGGAGATCACGACCGTGTTTCCTTCAATAAGCACGTCTCGAAGGAGAATGGTGGAGTCGGCGTCGTACGTGCCGCCTGACTTCGATGCTATCTCGCTGATACGCAGAAATCCGAAGAACGCTACATATAAGGCGCGCCAAACCATTACCGCTTCTTGCATCAGCGTTGCCGTGCATCCCGAGAAGTGATTTCAAAGTCCGCATGAGGCTCAGCGTGAAGGGAAGTCGCTTGTCGGGGTTCGGTCCGCGCAGTCTCTTGAAGCCGCTCACCGCCCGCACGACCAGGTCGTCGGTGGTAGGGCTAAGCAGACCGGCTTCCCGATGACTGTTATGCACCGCTGCGAGGTACACCTTCATGGTCCGGTAAGCTGCATTGTCGACGTATAAGGAGACGACGTAAGCTGCAATGGTGGATGCTGGTGCCGGTAGTGACATGAAACCGTTTGCAGCACAGAAGTGTGCAAAGCGGCTCACCGACGCCTTGTAAGTCGCTCTCGAGAATCCGAAAATGTGGGCGTTAAGGAGCCGACTTTCCGTGCCAGATCTCGAGAGTCGCTAAGATCTCCGCCATCTTGCCGGCAGGCAGGCTCAGAGTCTGTGCGCACGCGTGAATCACAATGCCGAGAAATGTCAGCCGAGTTGCGGGCCCTTCGGTCTTTTCACTGGCCAGGGGACACGCTTGGAAGCCATTAGGCGTTGGCTCTGTGCTCTCTGGATTGCCGACAAAGAAAAAATCATCCACGTAGTGGAGAAAAGAGCTAATGCCGGCGCGTCTTTGTACACACCAGTGTACAGCCGTGGAAAAGAACTCAAAAATGTAGGGGGCGGATCGACAGCCGAACGGCTATACTACGTCGAAGTAGTACTTACCGTTGAGTTGGTAGCCAAGACGATTCCAGTCCGCTTTCCTAACCGGGACCAGTCGGAACGCGGATTTGATGTCCATCTTCCCCATCATCGTTCCTTTACCAGCGATTGTCAGTAGCTTGACTGCGTCGTTCACAGAGCAGTACTGAAGAGGCATTTCACGGCCGTCTATGTGGTCGCTCACACTTAATCCGGCTGGCTGCGACAGGTCGAGGATTGTGCTATGGCCTCTGTCTTTCTTGGTCTGCATCCGAGAGCGTTTACCACAAAGGGCGGCAGCGGAGGGCTTTGAAACGGTCCCACAGAGTGTCCTGCGGCAACTTCCTTCTGTATGCGCCGCCGCAGAGCGTCGTTGTGGTTACGTGCGGAAAGTGAGTGCTTCGTGCTACGTGCGGAGTGAGGTCCTCTATACCGGTTGTCGGCGCCGGTTCGTAAAGTCGTTTTGGTGAAGCGGCACAGACTGGCGTCAGGGTAGTCGGCAAGCAGTTGCTCGAATGCTTCAGCACGCAGGGGCGTCCGAGCATTTGCAGGAACTGTCGCACATTCAGCGAGATTCGGACTTGCACCACGGCGCCCGGTGCTCTTTGTCCCGGCACTTTCCGCAGGCATGTAGACTGCATGGGTTGTTGCAGCGGAATAAAATGGGAAGATAATCGCGCCGTGTGCACGGCCGGCGGCAAAGTCGCACGTGTTCCCAGCAATGACAAAAAGAGCAGGCCGAGCCAACGCAAAAACAAAAAACAATACAGGGAATCTGCCACGAATTCAACTTCACTTAGCTAGCTTGCTGTTCTTGAAACAGGAATACTCGTGCACTATACCTTGTGACGTATGGGAGTAGGATCATACGCCGGAGTACGTACGGATGCTGACTGTCCGCCTTCCACCTGCAACATAACGGATAATCTAGTCAATCAATGCTGTGATTTGCTGTTCTCTTTTACTAGCGATGTATATGATGTCATAACGCAAAGTCTATATAAGTTCTGGTGATGCCTAATATCGGGATCAGTAGTCTGAGATTTACTTCTGAGACTGCTTCCTAATTACAATTTCCTAGCGTTGTGAACTGTGATGTGAATTGGATAAAGAGACAGCAATACTTGTTCCTACTGAAGTGCATAGTTGTTCCCGGATTATCGCTTAGTATACAGGTTTGCTCGTGACACAATCGTCCTAGCTCTTGCCGATCCTCACAGGACTTACGACCGGAAGTTGTGGTTAGCTCGTTCCTGAGGGATTCCTGATCTTCGGTGTTCCTGATTCGTTCGTCTTATTTCCACCATAGTTCTTCTGTTACAGTTTGAGAGTACGAGTGCCTACCGATTGAGCATTACAGGCGTGGAAGAGTAAAGATTGTTCATGGAGCCTTAATCGGCGTGAACGCTTATACACGACATGGCGCCCACCGGTGTCTTTTAATTTTCCCGATGTAACAGAAAATTATTGGTGGAACGTTTGATGGTAATTTATTGGTAAAAGTGGTCCGTACAGAAAGGCGTCGAACCGCAAAGGTACGCCGAAGGAGGTCAGCGTTCCCGATCTGGCCTAGTTAATTTATTTTTAGCGAGCTTCCTCGCAATTGTGAGCTTCCTCACTGGTGAGCTTCCTCGCCAATTAAATTAATTTAATTTAATTTAAATTGGACCGTAGGAATTTAACAGTCGAAACCTCAAAGGTCGGCTGTGCAATTTATTGGTGTCTGTGTGGGTAATTTCCGGGTTGTCTGCGCAAAGCAGTAACCGCGGCGAGTAAAGTGTAATCTGCAGTGTCAGTGCACCTGGCCTGCAGATAGAGCAGATAGTAAGCACCGAGCCATTGTCAGTGGCCAGGTGAGATAACGATCTCCAGCAGACTGATAAAGGCAAGCCGCAAGCGGTAGCCAAAATCAGCAGCTAGAGAGAGTTGACCGTGAAAAAGGTAAACACCGGCAAACGGTGATTGACCTGTGAATTCTAAAATTACAGCAGCACGCAAAGTGCAGCAGTGTAATTTTAAGAATTTGTTACAGTCGAAACCGCAAAGGTTCGCTGTGTCTAAACTCACTGAACAATTCAAACCTAAAAGGAGGATTGGGAAGTGAGGAGACAGTAATTGCACAATTGCAATTTTTGAACCAGTAGCACAATCGCTGCTGTACCTTTTATTTTAATTAGCCGCAAAGGTTATTTAAAATAAAAAGCAGAAATGTCGGGCGGTTCGATTCCTAGAAATCGCCCACCACCGCGTAAGATCCCAGATAACAAAGTGATTATTGGGGCGTACGATGGATCGAGAGCTCAGACAAGGTTCAAATTCAATGCAAAGGAAATCCCGTTGAATTTAATGTACATCGCTCTTAATGTCGAACCACCAGAAGCACAAGATGCATTCTGTGGGAAGTCATGGATTGATTACCAGGAAATCAGGCGGTACTTAAATTCTAAAACGAGATTACCAGCACATTTTAAACCTTGGATTGAGTACGAGGGATGTATCCCTGAAGCTTACCTGGACATTACTGATGAGCAGTTTAAAGCTGCCTTGCAGGATGCAAACAGGTGGCTGCCAGAATATACGGAAGATTTGAATAGACGCAGAGAGGCGGCTCAAGCCGCACTCACAGCGTCAAAAGCAACCGGAAAAACTCCCAAAAAACAAGCAGCAAATGAGCGCGTCACGCGCGGTGCCAAGGAGAGAATTCCAGCTCAGGCATCCGGTGCGATACTGGATGAGCCCATATCGGAAACCCCAAGCGTGGCCGAGAGTCAGACAGAACCCCAGTCGTCCCAGTCGGACAATAATTTAATAGCGTTGGCGGCTGCGGATAAAGCGGATATCTCCTGAGGATCTGAAACAAGAGCAAGTAAAGTATTCGTGGTGGAACAATGACATTCCACCCGGCACAGCTCAAATTACATAGTTTTGTGTCAGAAAAAGATTTTGAGCAACCAGATGAGGACTTCCTTACCCAAGCTAGGGAAGTTGATGAGCAGTTAGCTGCGGCAGAAACTGACCAGGACGTGGGCTTGATAGTTCGGCAAACTATGCCCGTATTGATCCAAAGTCTCCGCACGCTCATTGCATCTACAAAAACAAAAGTAGATGAAATGGGTAATACAATGTCTTTAGACGCTCGTGTAGATGCGGAACGAAACGAAAAATTGAAATTCCAAAACGATTTCAATGAGATGCGTGTTAAATTTGAAAATGAACAAATAGAAAATGACAGATTGGCCAACGAAATACGCATTGCGAATGATAATTTGCACAGTCTAAGACAAGCCAACAGAAATGCGGAGGCTGCATTTAATGCAATGCAAGATGAGCGCGATACTTTAAAAGACACGAATCGTAATTTTGAAAAACAGTTGGAAGATGCTCAGAGAGATCTTTCAAACGCGAAAGCTACGATTGATGGCCTCAGTGCGCAACCAGCACCGGATTTAACGAAACAAATAACTGATTTGAACCAAAAGCTCTCGAAAGCTCAGAAAGATTGTAATTCTGAGAAAGATGCGCATAAATTAACCAATAAAAATTTGACGGATGCGCAGAACCTGGTTACGAAACTTACCAAAGATTTGGATGATGAAAAGAGACGGGCTAAAGATGTGGAAGACTCTCTACAGCGTGAACTCACACAAGTGAGAGTGCAGCTGAATAACAAGTCTTCAGTCGGCCCGATGCATATTCCCAAGGAAAAGGATGATGCGTCCCAAAAGGAAATTGAGAGGTTGCAGGGTCTGTTGACTATAGAGCGAGAGAATGTCCAAAAGGCCCAAAAGGAATTAATAGACTCGAAAAAGGACAAAAGATGTGATAACTGTGAGAACGCGATTCAAGCGAAAAATACAGCACAGGCTGACGCATATGAAAAGTCTGAAAGGTGTAATCGACTGTATGAAGAAAATGCGCAATGCCGAAGGGAATGGCATGAAAAACAAGATCAACTTACCAAGATGGAAGTGGATCTAAAGCAAGCATATGACGAACTTCGTCGGCTTCGAAATACAGATGCTGCTCTTGGTGGCGGTGAAGGATACTTTCAAAGGGAAGCGCCGGTAGCGACAGGAGATGTATTACGTCCTTCCCCCTTTACACCATTTAATCCCCAAAATTTTTCGTCATACGTGGATCAGCCTTTAGCTACTGGTAGTAATCCAGCTGGCATCTTGCGCAGGCCTAGACAGGAATCACGAGTCGAATTCTCGGAGGCTCAGGCCATGCCGCGTTCAGCCTCAGAAAGTCAAATTCCAAGGGAAACGGCACCTGCCAAACAGAGGAAAAATGGCTCAACAGACTTACGCCAACAAATTCTGAAAAGAACAGCTGACGAATCTGGTCGCCAGATGCGAGGAACAGAAAATAGGGATAGTTCCGATACAGAAAATGAACTAATGGATGATGCCCTAATGGAGGATGAACACCGTCGCCCTAGTAGCACGGCGAGTAATGAATCTTTGTCCAGAAATCCTCAGCTGGAGGAATGGCTAAATAAACAGACCCAAATTTCGGATAGAACGACGCTTACACAAGAAAGCGTTGTTGAGCTTTTAGCAAAAATTGTGGAAAAAGACAGCGATAAAACAGTAGGAGGCATGAAGCTACTTGCCTTTGATGATGCTCACCCGGAAAAAATTCAAAGGTGGCTCATGAATGTTGAACAATGTAGAGCCACGAATAACTGGAATGATGAGACAACGTGTCGCAGAGTAATCGGTGCATTCACCGGTCCGTCCTTTCAATGGTTTGAAAAATTCTGGAAGGACAACAAAGGCAAATCGTGGTCAGATTTCTTTAAGCCGGCGATTGTAGAGCACTTTAACGGCTCTCTTTCTAAAGCCGATATTCGCCGAAAAATGAATAACCGCAAATTGGAATTTTATGAACCAGTTCGCGCTTACCTGGATAGTTTCCTCCCATGGTTTGAGGAACTAAAAACATCGGATGAAGAGCAAGTGGAAGCACTTCTTGATGGCGTGCAGGAGCATCGACCGGCGTGGTTCCGAGAAATTTATAATGCAGCGCCTAAAAACTACTCGGAATTTGAAAAGAAACTACAAGAGTGTGAGAAGCTATGGAAACGAATGAATAAGGATAAAAAGGCACCTGAATCAACTCAGAAAAGTGCCCTTCAGAACCGAGAAGTGCCGGCAATAATAATAATAATAATTCGAATTATGAAAATCGAGGCGGCCGCGGTGGCTCGTCGCAGAGAGGAAATTATTATTCGAACCGGGGAGGCCGCGGAAATTACGGCAATAATCGAGGTGGATACTCCCGCTCGTACACGGAAACGGTGATTCCGCAGCCGCAGAATACGGTGGCTCCAATCCAACCCGTCCTGAATGTTCCCCAGCCGCAATTTGTTCCAGTTCCGGTGTATTCACAGCCACCATTTGTTGAACAACACCCGGTACAATTTGCGCAGACTTTCCCTCAACCAATTCCTATGCAGGCTCCTATGCCTGTCCCAGTTCAAATGATGAATCCAATGATGCCGGTTATGCAGCCGCAATTCCAACAACCGGTGCAGAATTTCGATCAGCAGTACCAACAGAATGGCCCTGCGAATAACAACAATTATGATGGCGGTAATAATCGTGGAAATTACCGCCATAATAATAATAATAGTAATTATCGCGGACGCGGGGGTTTCAACAACAATAATAATCGTCAGCAAAATAACCAGAATTACCGGCAAAATCAGCAGGCCGGTAGTCAACCTCCGTTTGATGAACGAAATATCCTGAAGGATAAATGGCGAACAAATCGCGGAGTCGAGATTTGTTTCCGCTGTCATGGTCTTCATCCTGCAGCTGGTTGTACGAATCAATTTGTACTTCCCCGTCAGTATGAGCCATCTGCAGAATTGTTGGCACGTTACAATAACCCGCAGCAGCAGATTAATATGATGGAGTTGGACTTACCGGCTGGTTTGTCCACGTCGCCGCCACAGTGCAATAAAATGGAAGTTCAGGATTTTTCGCAATATCCGTTGGCAGATCACGTTTGCTTGTTGCCGACGCTGGATGCCCAGGCTTGGTATTCTGTAATCGATATAAATTATCAGAAAGTGAAGACTATGCTGGATACGGGCTCTAGTATTTCTGTTATGTCATTGAAGATGGCTAAAGATTTAAAATTAAATATTCACCGCTGTCCGGATCACATTAAAGGCAGGGTTGTACATACAGCTTATCAAGGAAGGCAGTTGATTGAGCCGCTTTCTGTGGTAGTCACTATCCATGAATTTGGCATGGCGTTTGAGCACGCTATGCTTGTGAGTTCCACTTTGATAGAGACCACGTTGTTTTAGGTTTAGACTTTTAGCTACAAAGCCTTTTATTTTAGATATGAATACGATGACTTGGCGTCTCTCGCGCAGACCGTCTAATGCTCCGGCATTTTACGCCGTGAAACTCACCTGATGTCTGACGTTATTCGTGCTCACGATTTTGATCCATTAATTCCCCTGTGGGAGTTAAGCCGTCGCCCGCGATCCCAGCGTTGATGCTGACCGAGCGAATCGGTGTCGCTAAGGAGGCAAAATTCGTACCGTATGAGTCAGCTCATTTAATTCTGGCAAAAGCTGACCCCAGAAATTTGTATCTTACACTTGCAAAAGCGAAGCAGGAGTGGCCTCGCTTGACTCAGTCGACACCACCAGTAAAACAAAGTTGTCGATGTCCCGGTGAAAACGGAAATTAAAGAAACTACACCAGTCAAGGCTGCACTGATTAAAAGGGATCTGATCAGCGTGATGAGGAGTTTGTGCGGAGCGTGGTACAGGAAATGATCCGGCAATATTTGCCCATGGCAGCTTCCGTTGCCGATGAACCGGTTAAACCTACAATTAAAAAGGAAATTAAGGTGGAGAAAAACCCAGAACAAAGTCAAGTTCGTGGGGGAGGCGGTGAATCTATTGTAAATAGTATCCAGTCAAGTTCGTGGGGGTGCGAACAGGCGTCTTCTCAGCCGCAGTTTAAACGTGAAAGAATTTCCCCGCCGCCACCGGCAAGCAGCTCGAGTAGCACGAGTAACTCGTCTTCGGCATCAGTCAGCCCTGTGCCTCCTTCCGGATCCAGTCAAGTTCGTGGGGGTGAAGATCCCTTGCAGCTTCCGATCCAAATTTCTTCGCTTGACGCAGTACTTCAGCAGCATCCTGCAGCTCAATACCTATACATGGGTGTTCTGCGGAAATCTTCCAAATCGGTTGAATGCCTTAGCATAGACAATAAATTATTAAATGTCATACCTGTTGAGCGTGATCGCAGAGATGTTGATGAAGTCCATGATTATCCCTCTTACATGGCACGCAATCCAGAGTTGAAGAAATGGATGACGCCGATGGATAGGCCGCAGGATAAGGGCTTATTCCCTTCGGAGCAACGGTTCCGAGATCCGCAGTTTTGGCGCGAAACTCAACAGCAGTGTGTTGATAGCCGGATGTGGTACAAAATGTACAAGAAGCCGTCGCACGCTAATACGAATTTTACCAAGTATGAGATTAACAGACTCGTAATATGCGAAGGGATATTGTGCAGAGTACCGGATCATTCTGGTGCATGTCCGAGAATTTACGTGCCACACCAATGGCGACGGAAATTAATTGCCTGTTTCCACGAAATTTTAATTCATAAGCAAGCGTATGGCCGGCATGAAAAGCTATATCCGTACTTGGTGAAATTATTTTACTGGCCGGACTGTATAATAGAAATCGAACGGTATGAGAAAAACTGTGATGTTTGTCGAAATTCAATTAATGACCGGCGGCATTTTGAAACAATTAAAAGAAATGAACAGTTGGCCGCACAGAAAGCTACAGGAAAACGTAAGGTTACCTTTTCCGTTGATAACCCGGCTCCAGCAGGTGAATTCAAGAATGGAAACTTCATTCCTGCACAGGGGATGCCGCCGATAAGCGTTGGTCCTTGTCCAGTTTCCTACGAAGATAAGCAGGCGGAGAAGCAAAGAGAAATAAACTCTCAAATCGTGTCTAACTCACCGCAAAACCATAAGTTGATTAGTGAGCAAGTTTCGGAGTTTCTTCCTTCGGCAGTCAGGGCCTCTTACGACTCCCCAGTAGACGTTGATATCAATGAACAGTGGAAGATTTGGAACGAAATTCATGAGCAAAAAGTATTGAGGGAGACTGTGGCGACTAGTGCAGTACAACCTACCGTGGGAAACTACGAACTGCCAACGGAAGGTCCAAGGAATTCTCCTAGGCGTAAAAAGTCCAGTTACAGCCGCAGAATTCGGCGGGAATATGCAGAAAGAGAGGCGGCAAGCCAAATGTCAGCTGAGACGGTGCAGCCGGCACCGGTGCTACAACAACCGACGGCTAAAAATTTGCCCAAACGATCTCAGGACGTCCGTGAGTCCACTGATATCCCGGCATGCGTGTATTCGAAGGATGTCATCGAGCTGGCGTACAGGGACGCCCATCTGAAACAGGCACAAGCACAGGTTGAGGTTAATTCGGTAGAACATGATATTTACCGCTTTGAGCCAGAACCCGGTCCAATTGACTGTTTTAAAATGGAGCTGTTTCCAGCTTCGCCGGTTATAATTCAGCCCCATTCACAGGGAATTATTCGCGCAACGACATCGATGTCTGACGAACAGTTCATGGAATTTCAAGATGAATACCTGTACACCCAGCCATTTCTCTACGAAGGAAAAATACCAGAGTCAAATAAAACGCCGTATTACTGGACGGCGTCTTAACGTTAAATGAGTATGGTAATTGTCGAGTCTGCGTCGTTAATGTGTTCTGACAAACCGCTGGTTTTGAATGAAGAAACCAACCTTGGCGAAGTCGCGCTCGTGGACGCAGTTTATCAAATGGACTCTCCGGAGTTCCTGGAGAACTGTCAAGAGGCAATTAGTGGCATTCCCAGTAAGGAGGGAGGTGTTCCGGTCACCGGAGAAAATAAATGAATGTGTGGCGATGCAGTTGCCGCCACCCGCCGTTAGTGTCGTTGATCCTGAAACAGAGGAAACTTTCGCAAAAATCAAAGTTGGTAATATCTGTCCCAGCAAGGATGAATTAAAAGCTATATTTTATCAAGCGAAGTCTGTCTTACCGACTAAAACACGTCCTGTGGGTTGTTGTACCATATATGAGCATTCAGTGGATACAGGCACGAGTTTGCCGGTCAGAACTCCTCCGTATCGCACGTCGTTCGAGGATCGAAAATGGCTCCAAGCTAAAACACAGGAAATGATTAAAGACGGTATAATTGAGCCAACAAATTCGGCATGGGGCAGTCCCATCTGCATAGTGAAGAAGAAGGATAAATCCCGGCGTTTAACCGTGGATTTCCGTAAGCTTAACGAAAGATTAATGGGCAGCAGTTACCCGCTTCCCAGAGTTGACGACATATTAAATGCCCTCGATAAAGCAACGGTCTTTAGCAAGATAGACTTAAAGAGTGGCTTTTGGCAAATTAAAATCAAACCAGAAGACCGATGCAAAACGACAATGGTTGGTGAAGAGTTCACGTTCCAATACAAAGTCTTACCTTTTGGGATGAAGGACGCGCCTTCGGCTTTCCAGCGCGCCATGGATTTGACGCTTGCGAACATGAAGTGGAGGAACGTATTAGTTTTTATTGATGACATTATTGTCTTCAGTAAAAACCTGGCTGATCATATGCGAGACTTACAGGAGCTCTTTTTGCGGCTCCAGGAATGCGGCTGGACCATTAATCCTGAAAAAACAGAATTATTTGTAAATTCAATAACGTTCCTGGGTCACACGGTTGACCAGTTCGGTATCAGTACTGATCCAGAGAAGATCCAGGCGGTTAAGGAATTTGGCCCTATAAAAGACAAAAAAGATATACTGCGTTTCCTAGGCATGGTGGGATATTATCGTCAATTTATTAAGAATTTTCAAGAGATTGCGGAGCCGCTTCAAAAGTTGATTCCTAAAAAAGTTACCTTTGAATGGGGAACGGATCAGTGTAGGTCTGTGGAACAATTGAAGGAGGCCTTGGTGACGGCGCCGGTCTTGGCTCGTTATGAT